GGGGGGGATAGTTTGAAACAAACGTGTGGTGTGAGAGCACCCCGTGCTTACGAGATCGCCATCCCGCGTAAAAGCTGGGAAAGGTATCTCGTATGTGGTACAGTTTAGCACCCGATTCCAACAATACAATTCACAACCCCCCCGCCCTCCACCCCCCCCCTCCGCAAAAACATACAAAAACTGCACGCATTAGGTGGTCTGGTCTAGATGTATTGTGAGACGGGCTGAGTCGCAATCCCACGAAAAAGACAAAATCACCGCCAACATCCTTCGCGGTTCCCCCTGACGGGAGAGGGCGCGGAGTAGAAGAAAAGCGTGTAAAATTTCTTGTCCCGCTGTCCACTACAAGAATAACGCTTTGTCCTTTGATTTCATTGGTCAGCCCGCTAGCCCGGTCGACGCAGAAAAAAGAAACAAACGCGCACATTCAACACACATGTTGGTCAGCCGGTTATGTAACGCAGTCGATGCAGGGTCCCAGATGATGGCCTTTAGAAGCGCTTTCCGTGTTTCAGCCGCAGTTCATTGGTCAGCCGGTTAGCGCGGTCGATGCTAACAAAACAGGCGGTCTATGCAGACAACACAGACACGCGCTGTCCGCGCTGTCTTACAAAGGGCGTAAAACACACAACACTAGACACACAAGAGGTGAGTGACTGCACCAAGCACACTGCACTTCACGTACCTGGCCTTCTTGAAGAGGCCCTTCCTGACCTTCACCCCGTGCGGCGGTCTGGCCACGTAGGCGATGCGGTGTGCCCGATACACGGACACGCGAGCCTCGCGTTCTTTTTCGTCCAGCAGCTGGCAAGAAGAGGACGACGACGACAAACAGCAGTATTTCACAGAAAAAAGAAAAAAAAACGAAAAAAACGGGGCAAGAGCAGCGGCAGACAAAGCAAGGGAATAAACAACGACGTACAACGAGGTGTCAGGAAGCTGGAAAGGCTTCGGTTGGCCAGCAGAAACAGTTAGCAGGACACTACCAGGACGCATGTCTTCACGCAGCGTGAATAAAGCATGCAACACGCGCGCGGCGAACAGCACACAAGACAGAGGAAAAACCTCCAAGAAAACGAAGAAAATAACGAGGAGTGAACAAGTTGCAAAGACGTTGCTGTTGCAGAAACGGTGGATGTCAACAACGAGTGAACAGGTACTAGTGTACAACTTCGCAAGACATTTGCCATTCTCGCTCAGCGTGAAGCGCTATTGAGCTCCGTTTCCGTTTGGCTGACCACTGCTTGCTCGCTGGTCGCCTGACCGTTGTTTCGGGGCCCCGACTGACCACTATTCCACTTTCACTTGCATCTGACAGACTCGTTAACCTACACAAGTTCCGATTTCTCCCCCTCGCGTATAAGCTCGGCGATTACTCATTATTCTCTTGCCACAGCTTTCGCTCTTCCCTCTCTCGCACACACCCATCTCCCCTTAACAGCTGCTGCGCGCGCACACGCACCGACACTTCTCTACGGCCTCTCTTCGGAAAAAAACGCAAAAAACCCGACTTTTCTGCAACAACAGCAGTGGCCACAAGCGACATCCATCCTCGCCAACGTGGTGTGACGTCACATGTCTGCGAGGATGGGTATCTCGATTGGTCACTGCCGTTGCGGGAACCCCGCAGGTTTTGCGCTTACTACTGGGAGGAAGAGTGCGGTAAATGTATGCACCACACGGTGTTGCCGTGAGGGTGCGCGCGCGGTTAGCGTTAGGGATAGCGTGCCCGGGGAACGACAAAGAGGGAAGGCCGAAGTTGTGGCGAGAGGAAGAATCGGAACTCGCCAAAGCTGCAGAGGACCGGGATGCGCGGAAATAAACGCAGACTACCTACACCCGATCTCAAGTTGCGTGACACGTGTCCAGAAAAAAATAATGCTGGCCTGTGAGCAAGCAGCTCTCACCCGGAAACGGAGCTTGCTTCACGCTCGGCAAAAGACATGCGATGCTAAGTGCGCTGCTGTTGCACTGCAAAGTGGGGCTGTTCATGTACATGTACGTGCCGTTAGTTCCCGCATCTATTCGCCAAACGGAACGGGAATGAAAAACCGCCAAATAATCGCGACATCTGATGCGGGAACCCGGGTTTGAAATATGCCGACTGCCGCGCTCTTCTAATGATCCCCACCCAATCCATAGGGCCGCATTCGCGGGATATTCAGCACTGTAAGGAAACAGAACAGGGAGGGGGTACGCAGACCGTATTCCCTAACCCTTACCCTAGCCCTACTTCCCCGATTGATTGCATGCTTTGTCCAACAAGTTTTACCTGACAGAAAAACCCTGGGAAGGCCACTACTGACTCCGGAGGGGCACCCTCAACAAAAAAAAACACTCGCACATTATAGAGCCAGGAACCAGAAGCTAAGAGTGAGTACGCACCTGGAGGCCGTCATCGTTGATGAAAATCTTGGAGAACCCGCCGGCCTTTCGGTAGTGCGACATAGCGGCCTGCCGATGATGGGACGAGAATGAGGGTGGGATGCAAAAAAAAAAAATGATGAGACGAAGAGAGAAACCGGAGGTGGAAAAAAAAAAAAAAAGACATGCAGAGGAAAAACCGGAGATGGACAAAAACAATAGAGAGGGTGATGATGAAGACAAATAGAGGAACCGCAGGCGATCAACAAAAGCAACGGGATGGTGACAAAGAAAAACAGAGCAACCGGACGTGGACAAAAAAAAAAGAAAGTGTATGATGATGATAAAAGACGAACACACGACCCGAAGGCGGACAAAAATCAACAATACGGGATGACGAGGCAAACAGAGCAACCGGAGCCGAAACCAAAAAGAAAAATCCCCCTGCCCTACTCCGTCCTCTCGCGGCTCTCGCGGACGCAATGGACCACGGTCTAACAACGAAGGATAAACTCCCCCACCGTACCTCCAGGCTGACGATACTAGGTAGGATGACAGCTTCGAGGCTTTCCTTGTAGACCGGCATCTGGATCGTGATGTCCGGGTGCGTTAGCGCTCGGGCGGGCGCCAAGGCGCTGAAGAATTGCGAGTTCGTCTGGCAAAAAGAAAAAGAGAAAAATACAACGAGACACGACCAGGGGGAACGGAGTCAAGCAAGAGGGGGAGAGAGGAAAAGCCGGCCGGAGACAACGCGTGAGGGGAAGGGGGGCCGCACGCCGGTGACCCAAGCAGGCTCGTACCACGAAAACAGAGTAACAACGAAACATCAAACTACAATAGTATGCATACATTGCTGCAAAGACATTATCAACACCTCCCTGCGACTGGGGGGTATTGCCTCTAACGGAAGTGTATTTCCTGCCGTGATTGTATCCAAGAAAACGAACAACATGGCACCGGAGAGACGCGACAACGACCGGGAGCAGGTCCAAACCACTCCTGCAAAAGAAATGGTGGCCAGCTGTCACTTGCGGCCGCTGGAAAATAGTGTAGGTCCTACGGGAGGTAACGAATGAGTGGACTGTCATGTGCCGCAAGGGTTTTTGAGTGGAATAAATGGGCTTGTTTTTCTGCGGACGATGTGGACCCCGGCGCCCGACCCGCCTCACCCAACGCAATCGGGTGCTGCAAACACCCCGTGTAGTTGCCACCCTCCCCCCCCTATCATCTGCTGTACCCCCACCTGCCGACGACTTCAGTCCGTTGAGAAAGGGCGACGTCTAACCCCAAGAGACAGATCCATCCATTCGACAACGAATCTATGGTTACCCCAGCCACCCCCGATGGCCCGCCCGGCCTCCCACCGTGTTTTAAAAGCGGTGCAAACAACCACGGAAACACAAGAGAGACAAACAGACACGGCAGCAGTATTAATAGAGGCACAACTTGCCTCCCAAGACAGTTGCACACAACGCAACATATTGGTTTAGCACAAAACAACAACACGAAAAGACGCGACCCAAGGATAACAAAAAAAAGAGCCGCTGCAGCAGCATGACAGACCTTCCGAGAACTCGCACCACCGAGTTAGCACAAAAGCAATTGAAAGAGCAAAGGGGGATCGACGGATAGTAAAGGGCCCACCTGCATGTGTGCCACGGGCCCCAGCGCGCAGACGACCTGGGTGATCCCGAAGTGGACGATGAAGAGCATGAAGATCACCACAGCGGGGAGAAACCCGACGTTCACCATACGCCCCCAGTAGCCATCGTCGAGGCACAGCGCTACCATCTAGAACAAGAAGAAAAAAAACGGAGAAAGACAGAAAGTACGCGACGACGATCAAACAAGAAGACCAGCGCGGATGCGAACGGACGAATGGACGTTGAGCTGGGCGGCCGGGATCCGACACAGCTGCATAGATGCCGCGAATGTTTGCGAGAGCACCTGTGAGTGAGAAAACACTAAGCTTGCCAACACCGGACAAAAACCAAGAATGATTGCCGTGCTGTAATGTTAAGGCAAAGAAAGCCCTGCAATCAAACCCCAACACACCAGACGTGCGGAAACGACAACGATAACAACCAAACGACGCCCCTTTGGACAAAATACAAAAGGTGAACACACGCAAAAAGACGGCAAAAATATTTGATTGTGGTTCTTTCCATGAACGGGGGGGGGGAGGGTGCAAAAACGTCTTACTATCTTTCTGAACTCCACTGCTGTTGACATCTAAACCATTTTGGGATCTAAACCCTGTTTCTTGTGTGGTTTCAATTAACACGCGACACAGCATGTGCCCCTTAGAGCACTTTGGCACGCCGGATTTTTCCAACACAACATGTCCAAGGCATCTTTCTCTATCTACCCTGACGGCACTTGGCGACGCCGGGCGGGCGGTGCATAATTTACCTTCCAAACGAACAGCCCGGATGTGGACACGATGAACACCAGAACGATCGTCTGCGTGAAGTAGTTGATGCGCCGGGTCACCCGTACCGGACCCTTGAGAGAGAGAGAGGCCGCGGAGAGATTTCGATTCGAGGAACAGGACAATGAGGGGCGAGGAAAAACAAATAGCAAACAAACAAACAAAGAGCAAGTCATGGGCAGTAGTCGAGTCGGGGAAAAGCGTCGTCAAGATTGTCTCGCGGGGGCAAAAGCAAAATCGTGAGCTCCACGAGGAAAAGCTCGCCTCATCCAGAGCCAAAAATGAGGCATGCAAAGGACAGGAGAAGGAGTTCACGGCTGTGGGCGGTATTGCCCGCGGGGGGGGGGCGGGTGTACTCATAGTCGTGCATGCCGTAGTCGTTAGACCATTGACCTCGCATCCCTACAAAGCCGGGACGGAGCACGCCGGGTTCTCACGCGGGGGGGAGGGGGGGGGGCAATAAAAATATCACGGGGCCAATTGTGTTACAGTCTGTCGCCAAACATTGCACCCCAAATCAAAAGGCGAACCGTTTCAAACACCCGTAGGATCGGTCGGTGCGCGCGGGCGGGGAGAAGACGGTGGCATGAACTAGCTTTTCTCCACCATCGTGTTGCACTCATACACGCCAACTACAACACCCTCCCTCCCGCAACACGCCTCCTCACCAAACCCATGCTGTCCGATTCAAGTCCGTTAGGAAAGAGCCGGTATTTCCAACCAGTTGAGGGGGGGGAGTCTACAATTGTTCAAAAATGAGCACCAAGAAACACTAGGGATGGAGCAGAGGTTTCAACTAACTACATTATTATTGTCGCAAAACAAGTTGAAGACATATCGCCTCGATTGCAACGGACCGAACATTAAAAAAAAAAAAAGGGGGGGGGCTCCGCGACAGCGAATGGGAGAATATCGTGTGCAAACCGCCATGTATGTTGCGACGAGAAAGAAAAAGAACACAACTAAAACCAGCATATTGGGGCGAGGATGGTGTAACTGTAGCCCGAGCCTTTAGGATGGACAGCCATAGGGAACGAAAAAATATAGCGTCGCAAATGGTCCCATGTACCGCAGAAGGAATGAATGACACACACGAACAACCAATAACATGCTGCTGTGTCAAAAAATCCAACAAAATCGAACATGTACAATGGGAGCAGCGATTCGCTGGTTTTCGTCCTCATGTACGGCAGAAAATGACACACACGAAACCCCAACACAAAATAATGCCGCTGATGTGCCAAACGTCCCCAAAAATCGAACAGAGAACAACGCACCTTGGGGGCAGCGATCCGTTGGTTGGCATCCTCCACATCGAAAGCCTCGGAGGATCCTATCGAATACATGCCCGGCGAAGAGGTAAACGACCCGTGATCCTCGCCAGGCCATCTCCTCGCCTTCACCGCCTTCACCGCCATCTCCACGTCCCCCCCCCCCCCCCCC